CCCTGCGCCGAGCGGAGGACCGGCCACCCGGCAACGCCCCCGCCGGCGGACGACTCGGGGGCAGCTGTGGGGGGAGATTTTTGGGGGAACGAAGAGAGACATAAACACACAACCTCGGAGGTCCGCGCGGATTGCCCGGATCTGCGCTGGACCCCTCCGGCGCCGCCCCTGGCGCGGCGCTCCGCACGCCAGGGAGGGGGGGTCCAGCGCAGATCCAAGAAATCCGCGCGGACCTCCGAGTTTTTGTGCTTATTCCCCAGTCAGAGCTTGCCTCTGTAGGGGGGGGGGTCCTGGCGGATACATATGGTCAGGTGAGGTGCGGCGCCGATTTTGGCAGCACGCCCGGGTGCCCGGGTGCACGGGTGCCCGGGTGAGTTGCGCCGCCGATTTCCGCGGGTGCCCAGGTGCTTGGGTGCCAGGGTGCCAGGTAGCCTTTTAGCCCTATAGCTTTATAGCCTTACAGCCCGAGTGCCCTAAAGCCCCATAGCCCTATAGCCCAATAGCCCTGTAGCCGTAATAGCCCTATAGCCCTTTTACCCAATAGCCCCATAGCCCTATAGTCCTATGGTCCTATAGCCTCATAGCCCTATAGCCCTATAGCCCTATAGCCCCAGAAGCTTATAGCCTTATAGTCTTATAGCCGTATAGGCCTATAGCCCTATAGCCCCAGAGCCTTATAGCCCTAAAAAGATTATGATTGGGTTTTTTCTCCAGTATCATGCCATTTTTCGGTTCCCTAATGAGGGGGGGATGCATCGACCCCCAATCGCCCACTGATCGCCGAGAGGTGCCCGATGGCCTCAACCTGGCCAGCTATCGGGGGTGCATCGCCGATCTATCAGCGATGTATCGCCGATTCCAGGTCGATGTTTCCTGCCTATCCCTATCCCCCCGTATGGTTGCCCCTCGACGACGCCGACGGCGGCGCCGCCGCCGACGACGATGAACGACGACGACGACGACGACGACGACGACGACGACGACGACGACGACGACGACGACGACGACGACGACGACGGGGGAGGAACGAGGATGGCGACGACCGACGACGAATGAGGAGCGTCAGTGGAGGTACAGATACTGGTGCCGCCGCCCTTCGTCGTCGCCACGGATGGACTCGCCGACATCGTGGTCAGGACGCACCATCGGAGAGGTCCGGGAAGCGGCGGCATAAGTATTTATTTTCCACCGGAGCCCGTTTTTTTATTGCTTGGGGCATGACGGGCGTCATGGCCCCTGGCCCCCCCCCTTCCCCTATGACGTATCGTTCCCCCCCCAGTGCGATTCGGGCACTGCCGCCGTGCGCATCGTGATCCGCATAGGTGTTCGCATAGGAATCCGCATAGGAGTCTGGTCCGCAGTCGTCCACGTCGTCGTCGTCGTCGTCGTCGTCGTCGTCGTCGTCGTCGTTGTCGTTGTCGCTCGTCGCTCGTCGCTCGTCGCTCATCGTCGTCTTGCGCGCGGACGCAGCTGGAGCATGATTTTTTTCTTATCCCGGGCCGATGACGGCAATCATTTGGGGGGGTGGAGGGGGCCGATGACGTCACGTTTCGCGCCGGCGGCGTCTGGGAATGCTTAGGAATCGCCGAGGACGGGTAGCAGTAGCATGTCGGCGGCGATCTGCACCACAACGCCTGTGTACACCATAGTGCCTGCGTGCACCACAGCGCTTGTGTACACCACACCGCCTATGTACACCACAGCAGCCGCGTGCATCACAGCGCCGGTGTGTGCCACAGTGCCTGTTGGCACTACAGCGCTTGTGTACACCACAGCGCCTGCGTACACCGCATCAGCCGTGTGCAACACAGCACCAGTGTACACCACAATGCCTGCGTGTACTCAGCACGGCACCAGTGAATATACCATTCTGCGGTGCACGCTGAGACGCGCACGTGCGCTGTAGTGCCGACCCGCACGACAGGGATGGAGGATGAGGGGGGAGGAGGAGGAGGAGGAGGAGGAGGAGGAGGAGGAGGAGGAGGAGGAGGAGGAGGAGGAGGACGAGGAGGAGGAGGAGGAGGAGGACGAGGAGGAGAGGACGGAGGAGGCAGGAGGAGGAGGAGGAGGTGATGAGGCAGGATGACGAGGAGGAGGCAGGAGGAGGAGGAGGACGAGGAGGAGGAGAAGGGAGGAGGGAAAGACGTCGCATTCTATTCTCAGCATTTCCCTGGCGTGGCGTTTAGCTGTCCTCACCAGATCCTCACCGACATGCCCCTTCTACCTCGCAGGCCGCGCCGAAATGAGAGGCGGGAGTGCATGCGAACCGTGGTATTCGGGCCTGGGTTGGGGTCCCCTGTGGGGCCGCGAAACGTGTGAGTGTTGTGCCGAAGTGAGAGGCGGAAACTCATGCAACCCCAGGACTTTGGGCCTTAATTGGGGACCCCTGTCGGGCCATGAAACGTGTGAGGGGTGTACCGAAATGGGACGCGGAAGCTCCTGCGACCCGAGGCATGTGGGCCTTACTTGGAGCTCCCTATGGTACAGCGAAGCGTGTGAGGGGTGTGCCGAAATCAGAGGCGGGAGATCATGCGAGCCTTGGCATTTGGGCATTGAGCGGGGCTCCATATGGGGCCACGAAGCGTGTGAGGGGTGTGCCGAAATGGGAGGCGGGAATTCAAGCATACCCTGGCAGTTCGGCCTTCCTAGTTGGAGCCCCCAATGGGGCTAAGAAGCGTGTGAGGGGTGTTCCGAAACTATCGGCGGGAACTCATGCGAACCCTGCCGCTGGGGCCTCCGTGGCGACTCCCTGTGGGGCTACGAATTGTGTGAAAAAGGGTGCTGGAATGAGAGCTGCGAGCTCTTGCGAATCCTGGCGTTTGGGTGTTTGTTGGAGCCCCCATATGGGGCAACGACGCGTGTGAGGGGTGTGCTGGCATGTGATTGATGATGATGGCAGTGCTGTTGCTGATGCGGATGAGGCTGATGATGCTGGTGGCGATCAGGGTGATGATGCAGTTGGTCATGCTGCTGATGATGGTGATGGTCATGATGATGATGATGATGATGATGATGATGATGATGATGATGATGCTGATGATGACGATGATGATGGTGGTGGTGGTGGTGATGCTGACGACGATGACGATGATGCTGATGATGATGATGTTGATGCTGCTGCTGCTGATGATGATGATGCTGATGCTGATGCTGACGATGCTGACGACGATGACGACGATGATGTTGATGATGATGATGTTGATGATGATGCTACTGCTGATGACGATGACGATGACGATGACGATGACGATGACGATGACGATGACGATGACGATGATGATGATGATGATGATGATGATGATGATGATGATGATGATGATGATGATGATGATGATGATGATGATGATGATGATGCTGATGATGATGATGATGATGATGATGATGATGATGATGATGATGGTGATAATGATGGTGATAATCGGGAAGATGGCGAGGAAGGGAGGAAATACGAGGGCGCTGTTTATTCAAGACGGGGGGGCATCACAACAGGGTGAGAGACACATTTAATTAAGCCGTTAGAAACTTATCACGCCAAGCACCGCTGTGATAGCCCAGGGGTGGCGGACCAAGTGTTTTTCGGCCCATTCCGCGACCGTGCCAGGGTCGCGGACAGGATCCGGGGTCTCTTTTGAAGCATATCGGCAGCATCTTGGAGTTTGGGCCCTCTTGGGGCCTCGTGGGGGACCCCTCGCGCGTCTTGGGGAAGTCGGTGCCCATGAGGGACGTATGGGGGCCTCTCACAGTTCAGGTTCCCCTTTTTGGGCCCATCTCGGGGCCTTAGCGCCCAAGATGGCCCCCTTAGGGACCTTTCGGGGGTCTCTTGGGGCGTCTTGGGGTAATCTTGGGAGCCTCGTGGGAGAAGCCCGGAAAGGCGCCCTCTTCGGGGTCATCGATTCTCTCTTTTGTGGCGTCCTAGGGGCCTCCTGGGTCTGCATTGGGAGTGTTAGAACGCTATTGGGCCGTCTTGTGGCCCGCCTGCACCGTTTATGAAGCCTCCTGGGACCCACTTGGCTCTCTGGTCTCGGGGGTCGGGTCCGTGGGCTGGACGAACACATTCCGACGGAAGTCTGTCGTGGGCAGGATACGTGGCGGTGTCCCGGAGGAACTGGTGATGAGGAGGCAGGAGGAGGAGGAGGAGGAGGAGGAGGAGGAGGAGGAGGAGGAGGAGGAGGAGGAGGAGGAGAAGGAGGAGGAGGAGGAGGAGGCATGAGGAGGAGGAGGCACGAGGACGACGCACTAGCGGGCGGCTGGTCGGCGGCGTAGAGACCGGCCGGCGGCCCTGCGGCGCGTGCAGGCGGCGTTGCGGGCCGGGGTGCGCGAGGCCGATCCTGGGCCCGGGATCGGTGCGCGGGGTGGTCGAGCCAGGAGGGCGCCGGCACCGGGCCCGGGCCCAGGACCGGCCCGGCCAGATCGGCGAGGGGGTCGGCTGGCGTCGCCCGAGGGTGCGGACGGGCGCGCCGCTCGCGCGCCTGTGGCGGGGGCTCGCTCTCCGCCCCCGCGGCGCAGGAGGGCTGGGCGGCAGCGGAGCGCGGCGTGTCTCGCCTGTCAGGACACCCGGGGGGGGGGGGCTGGTGGCCGCGTGGGCGGACGGACCGCTGCGGCAGTGTGATTGGTTGACGCTTCGCGATCAGGGTTTCTCCGATCGATCCGATTCGGTATCGGTTCCAAACAACCCGAGCCGACTCGATTCCGGCGTTCGGACGGTTTGGTGCGGCCCGATTCTTGCACGGGGCTTTTAGTGCACCCTGGCGCAGCCGATCCGATTCGAGTTCGACTTTGTGCCGATGTGGTCCGATCCGGCTGACCGATCCGATCCGATTGCTTGATTCGATGTTGAGTGATCCTGCCGCAAGCCCGCCCAGTGGCCAGCAACTGTGAGCTCAAAGACCTGTTGGAGCCCTCTTCATGAATCTCGGCGCCATTTTGGAGCCTCCCCCCGGAGGAGAAAAAGGGGTATGGAAGGGGATACTCTAAACCGCCTACGTCCATAGAGCTGGTGGGATTACAGTCAACCCGCACAGTAAGGATGAGCGACTTGCCAAGGTTACCCTTACATCCTTCCCCTTCGGCCCATCCTTGCCCACTTTCGCTGGCCGCGCCCCGCTTCGACGTGACCTTCCAAGGCCCCTGCACCCTTACCTTGCGTCCTTGTTGTGCGGGCTGACTGCACGGAAGGGAAGGCTCTTAACCACCTGCGTCCAGAGGCTGGTGAGATTCTGCACTGACCGCAGGCCCCCCGCGCGCCGTCACGAACAAAAAGCACGGCGCAAAGGCCTCGGCCGTTCCCAGGTCCTCTCGGGGCCTCACCGGGCCCTGGTGGGACCGTCCGCAAACTCCTTCCTCGGCAGGACGCGAAGCAGACGGTGTTTTAGCGATTTCGTGGGCCGCTTCCGCTTCGATCTCTCTGCAGCGGAGGCGGAGCGAAGACAGAACCGGGGAGAACGAGCACGAAGACGGAAAGCATTGCTTACTTCGCGCCCTGTTGCGCAGAACGAGAAGCGGGTCCGAGGGGCGAGGCCCCCGCTGCGGCAAAATTCACGCCGTCGGGGGCATGGGACGTGGACATTGCGCGCAAAGAGCGACGATCCTGCCAGCGGCGCCAGCGCGCGGGAATATTTGCCGGAGTCCCCTGGCTATCTGGACTTCGTCTTGGGGACCTCGTTCTATGTTGCTTGGGGTTTGGGTCCTGTTGCTGGGGTATGCTGGCGCGCTTGTTTGAGTCATGCCCTGGTCGGTCGAGGCCCTGCTCGGTTGTAGTCCTGGTTTGGGGTCATGGCTTGGGTTCTCGTTGGGTTGAGGATATTCTCCAAATAGGCTTGCCCTATAATATTATGAGAGTCCTAGCTCAAGCCCTACTAATTGGTCCGTTGCCCCCCTAATTCCTATGACCCCCCTAATTCCAATGGCTATGCCTATGCCCATGCCTATGCCTCCACCCAAACTCCTATGCCTACGCCTATGCCTATGCCTATGCCTGCTTGCTTGCTTGCTTGCTTCCTTGCTTGCTTGCGCGCTTGCACGCTTGCTGGCTTACTTGCTTGCGCGCTTGTACGCTTGCTTGCTTGCTTGCTTGCTTGCGCGCTTGCACGATTGCTTGCTTTGCTTGCTTGCTTGCTTTGCTTTGCTTGCTTGCTTGCTTGCTTGCTTGCTTGCTTGCTTGCTTGCTTGCTTGCTTGCTTGCTTGCTGAGTTGCGGATTCCAAGCATGCTTGATTCCTCAGATTCCTTGATTCGAATCGTCTAATTAATTTGGAGTCAACGCTGGCTGATATGTTTGGAGTCTTGGTTTTGTTTCTCTTATCATGGTTGGGGTCGCGATTAGGGTTTTTGTTTTGTTCTGGTGAGGTGAGGTTCCGTTTGCTTGGCTCCTGGGTTAGTCTTTAGTTCAACCATGGCGGGGTCATGGTTCGAGTAATCATAACAGTGGCGATGCTTGGTCGTCTGGTTGCTGGCTGTAGTCCTGGTCGGATTCTCGTTGGGTCCTCCTGGCTTCTTGTTTGATTGAGATCCTGATTGGGGTGCCGGGTATACCCAGACAACCTCCCAACCAGCTGGGGTGTAGTCGGAGGTTCTGGGGTGAAGAAGGGTTCGTGGAAGCTCGTGGGGTGGCGGTACAGTGTTTTGTGCAGGACCTCGTAGGCTCCTGGTTGGCCACCGGTTGAGTTGGATGGAACTCGATCGAGATTGGCCAGTCTCTGGCTTCGCATCGGCCCTGCACTCCATCGAGGGGTCCGTCATGCAGCTGCCATCCCTGAATAGCCAATCGGGCCGAGACTGCCCCGTGCCCGTGCAGGCGCGCACGCGTGCCCGCCCGCCCCCCCCTCTCCGCGGTGCAGACGCGCCCCGGGTGCTGCAGCTGGACGCCTTCACGTCCGAGGAGGAGGCCCAGCCGCCCACGGGGCAGCGGCGGCAGCGGCGCACGCGTGGCCAGCCCGGGCTTCGGACGTCGCGGCCCCTTCGAGGATGTGGAGTCTGCCTCCCCTCACGGCCGATGCTCGGTCGCCCTCCAGCCGATCTAGGGGTCTCGCCGACATGGCTGCATGCAACTGGAGTTGGTGGGCGTGGAAGTTGGGACCCTCCCGGGGGCAGACAAGGGGCGGAGGCCGAACACATCAGGGCGAGGCCCACGGGACGGCCTCCTTGCTACGCGCCTGCTCTGTGAGTCCGATGAGAAGCGCCGTGGTGAGCGACCGCACGTTTGGGCGTCTGCCAGGTCGTTGAGTGTCGAGAAGCCACAAACGGGTACGAACACAGTGGCATGCGCTGTCAGCGCCGTCGCCGGTGTTGTCCATTTGAAACAGAAGGCCGCCCGCCCAACAGCGGCCGCTGTTGGTCATGGACAGCATTGGCTGCTGGGCATCGTTCCCTTTTTCCGTTCCCATGTCGGGCGAGTGGCTCTCGTGGTTGGCCGCAAGCTTGTAGCACGGCGCGCCAGGCTCGCACAGCGAGCAGCTGGCGCTGCACGGCGGCGTACTCGGAGCACGCGCGCACGCACGCGCGCGATGCCAGTGCACTCCGTAATCAGGGTGACACCTTGACCCCTGGCCGCGATCCACTTTCGAATTTCGGTCCGATCGATCGGATTCGACATCGACTCTGGCTGGCTCGATCCGATTCGGTTCTTATCTTCTGGCGATGCGATGCGGCCCGATGTTTGCATGGCGCCGTGCATTGGGTACACGTCCCCCCACTCGAAGCCGGCCCCCTCTGGCCAGGATCTCGCGGCGAACTCTGCCGTGTCGACGAGGGCCCTCCCAGAGGCCCCGCCAACCTCTCTCCCTCCCCTTCCCCCTTTTATCGAGGAAGCACAATCATGTATCAAGGCGCGTGGACTAGCGGCGAGGCCCGCTTCCATGCAGATTTGGTGCGATCCGTCGCCACATCGGGTTGCATTGGCCTCATGTTCCAGGGGGTACGTTCCGAATCCGTAGATCCCAGATCCACAGATCGGCACTCCATGTTGGCGTGCGCCCTAGGCTTCTCCCCGCTACGACGAAATCCCACTGGTCTCTCTCGAAGTCTCCTGTCGCCTCCGGAGGCCTCAAATCTTGGCATCGCCCAAACATCTTTGTTCGGCGAGGACGATCGAGGGGCATCCAGGATCATCGAACAACAAAAACACGCACGAAACCGACACATGCACGGGGAATGGACGTCCGAGCTGTGGCGGGAAAAGGGTTTAAACACTGATTCTAGATTCTCCTCCTTCTCCTCCCGGCCCCATCCGTAGCCACTTCGGTTCAAGCAGCCAGGGCTCGCAGCCCACGCGCGCGACTCGAGGGCTGCTGCCCCGCTTCTGCGGCCGGCCTTCACAAGAAAACCCGGATGTCCCGCGCGCTCCTCCCCGTACTCCTCGCGGCAATTGTTTCGCGCACCGGCGCGCGCTACGCTGTTCCCGCCGCCACAACCGTGGAGGTCGCCGCAAACGGGCGCCCCCTGGTCCTCGCTGAGAACGGACAGGGCGCCTCGGAGCCAGCGGACACCACCGAGGAGCCCGCCGAGCTGGTGCAGGCGGACACCACCGAGGAGCCCGCCGAGCTGGTGCAGGCGGACACCACCGAGGAGCCCGCCGAGCTGGTGCAGGCGGACACCACCGAGGAGCCCGCCGAGCTGGTGCAGGCGGACACCACCGAGGAGCCCGCCGAGCTGGTGCAGGCGGACACCACCGAGGAGCCCGCGAGCTGGTGCAGGCGGACACCACCGAGGAGCCCGCCGAGCTGGTGCAGGCGGACACCACCGAGGAGCCCGCCGAGCTGGTGCAGGCGGACACCACCGAGGAGCCCGCTGAGCTGGTGCAGGCGGACACCACCGAGGAGCCCGCCGAGCTGGTGCAGGCGGACACCACCGAGGAGCCCGCCGAGCTGGTGCGGGCGGACACCACCGAGGAGCCCGCAGAGCTGGTGCAGGCGGATACCACCGAGGAGCCCGCCGAGCTTGTGCAGGCGGACACCACCGAGGAGCCCGCTGAGCTGGTGCAGGCGGACACCACCGAGGAGCCCGCCGAGCTGGTGCAGGCGGACACCACCGAGGAACCCTCAGAGTTGGTGCAGGCGGACACCACCGAGGAGCCCGCCGAGTTGGTGCAGGCGGGCAATTCAAACCCTAGGCTGGCTGCGGTGGCCACGGCGATAGTGAAGATTCAGAACTTGATAACGTTTGCTAAGAACATCAGTGACATGTCCATTGCCATGACCAAGCAAGATGGATATCTGGAGAAAGACGTCAAAGACTCCCTGAGCCACGTAGGCCTCAACATGAAGCTCTTCAAGGACGGGATGAGCATGGTCCCGAATCAAGACCGCTTGCTGCTGAAGGTCAAAGAGCTCGAGTCTGAGACGAAAGCCCTCGAGGCCCCCTTGGCGAAGCTCGGTTTGGCATGAGGCACGCAGTAGGGCGTACGGGGATGGTGGTCCCGCCGGGTCATCCCCAGCGCGAAAGCATCGCAGGAGACCACGCCGTGCGGTCTTTGCTCTGCCTTCTGCTCTCTGTCCAGCCCGCTCCGGGGCATGCCGCCGAGCGGGCGCCGAGGCTCCGCGCTCCAGAGCCCGAGAACCTCCAAAAACATTCGAACGACTTCGAACACTGTGGCGGTCCGCCCAAAGTCGGGCGAAGAGAACTATACACATGCACCGATCCTGGCAAGGCCCATCCTTGACCCAGGATCGGTGCATATACCTTCCTGGCCAAGGTAGAGGGCGTATGCACCGATCCTGGGCTCAGGATGGGCCTGGCCAGAACCGGTGTATGTGCATAGTTCTCTTTCCTCTACAAAGAGCCTGAACCTTTGGGTCTGACAGTCGACCCCCAGACCGCGTCCTGGGGTGAGATCTGACGAGAGTTTCGAGGGGAATCCAGCCATGCCGACGGGAAGCCCCCAGGAAACCCAAGAAGAGATGGGGGCGCCTCGAGCTCTAGACCTCGAGGCTCGAGGTTTCTGGGCGCGCCCCCCCCGTCAGGCCGCGGAGCTCGTGGCCGTCGCGGAGGCGCAGGGGCGGTGGCAGGCGAGCCGCGGTCGCTTGCGAGACACCCCCCCCTGCGGGTCCAGCCGACGCTGGGGTACGCCCCCGCTGGAGGAGGAGGAGGAGGAGGAGGAGGAGGAGGAGGAGGAGGAGGAGGGCGAGGGACATTCCCCCGAGACCCGAAAACGGGTAGGGTCAAGCCCGAAATCCCCACAGGGGCGAAGCCCGAAAACGCCAGAGGCCCCAACCCGAAACTCTAGGAGGGGCGAGATCCGACAAGCTGGAGAGCTGAGGAGGGGATCTCGAGGGAGGCAGGGCGCGGCAGGAGGAGGTCGGAGAAGTGAGAGAGGACAGGAGATAGTAGAGGGGACGAGGAGGAGCATGAGCCAGGGCTCCCCTTCTGTCCAAGCTTACTTGCGCATGCTTCTACTACTTGCTTCCCATGTTCGAGGTCCACGTTCCAGTATTTGTTACGTTTACTGTCCAATCTTGAATTTCGCATCAAGTGGGAGGATGGCACAGTTCAGAACTCAGCGCACTCCTGCAGGATTTGAACAGTGAGCGATGCGAATATGTTGCTTCGAAGACTTTCGCGATACACAGCATCGTAATCGGTTTCCTGGTCGATCGCGCATTGCTACACCAAGTCCGCACAAGGGGCCTCCTGATCTTCAATGATGCAGTATGTAATTGATGTGGTTGGTCCGCTGCACTTGTTGCCGACGTGCCGATGTCTCACCATGACGATATTTGTCCTCCCCTCTCTCTTTGTTCTTCGCCTTCGAAGCAAAATAGAACATCACAAACACGAAATTCGTGAGGCGTTCACGGATGTCTTGTGTCCGCGTTGGCCCCCTTCCTGTTGGCACGCGGCGTGTCCAGGAGGTGTCCAGCGCTAACCCAAGAGATCCGCACGGACATCCGACTGCTTACGTCGACGGCGCGCCCAGGGTGGAACTAAGGTGCAGCCGGAGCGTGCTGGTGGACGTAGGAGGAGGTAGGACGAGGCAGACGGGGGTAGGATATCTACGAGGGCAACGGAGGGTTAAGTCGGGGCAGACGGGGGTAAAAAGTCCACACGTGTATTTCTTGGGTTCATCGGGGTTTGGGTAGCGCGTCGGCGAGTGGTGCTCCCCATCAGGTCCCTCTGCGTGGTCCGTCTGCGGTTTCTGCGGGTTTGGCGGCTGTCTTGAGGTCTTCTTCGCTGTTTGCCGGCCTGTCGTTGCCCTGTTGTGAATGGAGTGGCGGTGCATTTGTTCCCGCCCCGCGGTGCTGTCGCGTAGCAAATCGAATGGGGTATCTGTTTTCGCCTCCCAGGCGTTGCCACGTGACGAGTGGAGTGAGATTTGTATACGGTCGGTCCGCGCGGCATTGCCACGTGATGAGTAGAGCGGAGGTCTACTTCTTGTTCGCTCGCTATGCCATTGCCACGTGGCGAGTGGAGTGGGATAGTATGTCTGTTGACCTCTCAGGCCTTGCTACGTGGCGTTGCGATGTGGCGATCAGGAGTGGAGCAGCATGTGTTCCTGGCCCGCTTCGTTGCCACGTGCCGAGTAGAATGGAGTAATTCTGTTTCGCCCCGCAGGCGCTGCCACGTGGCGAGTGCAGTGCAGTAGTATTTGTTCCCTCCTTCGCGCGCTGCCACGTGGCAAGGAGGGTGGAGCAGTATGTGTTTCGCTCCCTTGACCATGCCACGTGGCGCACACGAGCAAGCGCACGCGAGGGCGGGCGGGCGGGCGGGCGGGCGGGCGGGCGGGCGGGCGAGCGCGCGGGCGGGCGGGCGCGCGAGCGGGCGGGCAAGCGGGTGGGCGGGCGGGCGGCGGGCGCGCGTGCGCGCCGGCGGACGGGCCGGCGCGCGGGCGTTCGCTCCGCAGGCGCTGCCACGTGGCGAGGACAGTGGAGTAGTATTTGTTTCCCCTCCGAGCGTTCTCATGTGGCGAGGAGATCAGAGCAGTATTCGTTTCGCTCCCCCGGCGATGTCACGTGGCGGATAGGGTGAAATACTATGTGTTCCACCCCGCAGGCAATGCCACGTCGTGAAGAAAAGGGGTAGCATATGTTTCGCCCCCCAGGCGTTTGCCACGTGGCGAGTAAAGTGGAATAGTTTCAATTCCCGCCCCGCAGGCGTTGCCGCGTGCCGAGTAGAGGGACGAGGGAGGAGGAGGGAGGAGCGAGGAGGGAGGGGTGCAGGAAGGAGGAAGCAGGAGGGAGAAGGGAGGAGGGAGCAGGAGGAGGAAGAGAAGAAGGAGGAGGAGAAGGAGGAGGAGGAGGAGGAGGAGGAAGAGGAGGAGGAGGAGGAGGAGGGAGGAGGGAAGGAGGAGGGAGGATGCAGGAGGCAGGGGGCAGGGCGGGGACTAGCGAGACGAGGCAGGAGGCAGGAGGAGCAGAGACGAGGGAGCAGGAAGGATAGACGAGAGAAGGGTAGGATGCGTTGGAGGACAAGCAAGGAGGTGGAGGAGGTGGAGGAGGAGGAGGAGGAGGCGGGAGGAGGAGGAGGCGGGAGGATCGGAAGGAGGACGAGGAGGTCGGGGACAGGCGAGGAGGAGCAGAGAGGACGACCGAGTAGGGGGAGGAGGGGGGCGGAAGGAGGAAGAGGAACGCAATGCAATGCAATTCAATGCATTATGCGACTCCGCAAAAGGCAAAGAATTGATGCTGGGTTTCAGGGTGTACATCCTAAATGGGGATGGGGGAGGATGACGAGGAGCAGGAGAAGGAGGAGGGTGAGGAAGAGGAGGAGGAGGAGGAAGAGGAGGAGGAAGAGGAGGAGGTGGAAGAGGAGGAAGAGGAGTTCTTTGTACTCCCTGGGGTCAGGATCTCGTCGGCACAGTGGTGGAAGGGGGCGGGATGCGACAGGGGAAGAGGGAGCTGGCGCGCGGGCGGGCGGGCGGGCGACCTGGCAGGCGGGCGAGCGTGCTGGCGGGCGGGCGGGCGCGCGGGCGGGACGGGCAGGCGGACACGCGAGCGGGCGCGCGCGTTGGCGGGCGAGCGGACGTGCGGGCGGGCGGGCGGGCAAGAGGGCGGGTTGGTGGGCGCGAGCGGGCGTGCGGGCGGACGCGCGCTTCTGCGGGCGGGTGAGCGCGCGAGCGGGCGCGTACGGGCCCGTGGGCGGGCGGTTGGGCAGGCGGGCGGGCGGGCTGGAGGGTGGGCAGGCAGGCGGGCGGACGGCGTAGTTGTCGGCGTCGTCGTCGTCGGCGTCGGCGTCGTCGGCGTCGGCGTCGGCGTTGGCGTCGGCGTCGGCGTCGGCGTCGTCGTTGTCGTCGTCGCCGTCGTCGTCGTCGTCGCCGTCGTCGTACGACGTCGCCGTCGACGTCGTCGTCGATGTCGTCGCCGATGTTTTCGTCCGCGTTTGAGCCACGTGCCGAGTAGATTTTGGTGTTCGCTTCCGGGGTGTTGCCACGTCGAACGCAGTAGAGTAGTTATGTTTGGTTGTGCGCTTTGGTAACGTTGCGCGCAAAAGTTGTATTGTGGATTGTTCGCCAGCGTGTCCTTGCCCCATTGCGAACGGAGTGGCCTTCTAGCATTGTTGCTTACCCCTCAGGCCTTGCACGTGGAGTTGCCATGTGGCGAGTAGAGATTGTTGCCGCCCCACTTCGTTGCCACGCGCCGAGTAAAGTGAAGTCATGTTGTTTCGCCCCGCAGGCGCTGCCACGTGGCGAGTACAGTTCAGCATTCTTTGTTCCCCCCTCCGCGCGTTGCCAAGTGGCGAGGAGAGTGGAATCATATTGGGTTCCCTCCCTTGACGTTGCCACGTGGCGAGTCGTGGAGTGGAGTAGTTTGCGTTTCGTTCCCCAGTCGCTTCCACTTGGCAACTCGCGTGTAATGGTGTGCTTTCCGTCCCGCAGGCGTTGCCACGTCGCGAGGAGAGTGGAGTAGTACATGTGTTCGCCCCCTAGGCTATTGCCACGTGGCGAGTAAAGTGGTAACGTGTCATAGTTTCTCTCTTTCCGCCCCGCAGGCGTTGTCGCTTGCCGTGAAGAGGGACCAGGGAGGAGGAGGGAGCAACGAGGAGGGACGGGGGAGGAGGGAGGGGGGGGAGTAGGGAGGAGGCAGGAGGGAGGGACCCAGAGGGAGCAGGAGGAGGAGGAGGAGAAGGAGGAGGAGGAGGAAGAGGAGGAGGAGAGGAGGAGGAGGAGGAGGAGGAGGAGGAGCAGGAAGGAGGAGGAGGAGGAGCAGGAGGAGGAGGAGGAGCAGGAGCAGGAGGAGGAGGAGGAGGAGGAGGAGAAAGGAGGAGAAAGGAGAGAGAGGAGAGAGAAGAGAGGAGAGAGGAGACAGGATAGAGGAGAGAACAGAGAGGAGAGAAGAGAGTGGAGAGAGGAGAGAGGGAGAGGAGAGAGGAGGGAGGACGGAGGGAGGAGGGGAGGAGGCAGGAGGGAGGAGGAAGGAGAAGGGAGAGGAAGCAAGAGGCAGAAATGGGAGGGGTGCAGGAGGAGGGAGGAGGGATGAGAGGAGGGTAGGATGCATGGGAGGACGAACTAGGAGGTGTAGGAGGAGGAGGAGGAGGAGGAGGAGAAGGAGGGGGAGGAGGGGTAGGTGGGAGAATCGGAAGGAGGACGAGGAGGACGGGGAGGAGCGAGGAGGAGAGGTGAAGGAGGGGGAGGGGGGCGGAATGACGAACGAGGAGGGGCGAGGTGGGGCTGGTCTGAACTGGAGTAATGGGCTTGGTCCCTTTCGGATTTTCGGGTTTTCGGTCCATGTTTATATGTTCGGTTCGCTTCTTTTCGATTTTCGGGTGTCGCCCTTGATCTTCGGGTTTCGCCGTCAAAAAATGCTCGGTTTCGCCTTGCTACCCCGTCTTGGGGCCCTCTTGGGTCGCCTTTCCGGGCAATCTTTGATTCTTTTGGCCCACTGAGCTGGGGGGCCCGCGAGGGACGGCCGGCAGAGGGGGCCCCATGGATGGACTTCGGGGAGCTTTCGACCAGGCACTGTCACCAAGCGTGTTCCACTGCTCGCCAAGCGCCTGCTCGCAAACGTCAGAAAAGCCGCACGTTCGCCCCCGGTGTGATGGATGTTAAATCCTCCGCGGTGGATCCAGGCCATTT